CGCCACTTGCCCTCCTGCAGCCCAGCGCTGCTGCTGCTGCTGCTGCTGCTGGCCGGCTGCCTGGGGGTCTCGCGGGCGGCGGCGGGTTCTCGGAGGCCCAATGTGGTCCTGCTCCTCGCCGACGACCAGGACGAAGTGCTCGGCGGCATGGTAACTCTTCTTTCTATTTCTGCCCCGCCCCTCCACCTCCCCGGCTGAGCTCGTGGTTTCTTGGTCTTGTTCCCCATCCCGACTCCCTGAACTAGCTGCCTTGACCCTAGGTGGGTTTGCTTTTGCCTCTCCAAGCCCTTTACGCAGGCTTATGGAGCTGCAAGACTATTTCCTCTCTCTGCCAAGTGTCTTCTGAATCCACACACATGCACGCACCGCACAGAGCTTCTAGTCTGGACCTTACTGCTGAGGAGTTCGCGTTCCTAGCTCAAAACAAACATGTGGACGCCACTTAAGGATGGGATGAACCAATGAGGAGCAGGTGCTGGCTAAGAGCATGCACGCCTTGATTGTTTTTCTTTTCGAGTAAAGGACAAATCCAGCCCCCTCTGTGAGGGACCTAGGCCACCTCTGCATTTGTCCCTGTGGACCGTGTTTGTGCCTGATATTTGTAAAAATAAGTGCTGAAGTGAACTAATCTAGTGGGTAGATTGTCGAACTATTCAGGGTATGCTTTCCCTCACAAGAATCAAGAAAATTCAATTAGCCTAATTGAACACCTGGCTGATGCATTCGATACTGTCGGTGTTCCATTTTATACCAATTGGGTGTTGTTTTTGAGAATTCATTCTTTCCCAGAGTGAATTTTGCTTCTGTGTCTTTGAGTTCTGGAATTTGTGACCTTTAAGAACATCCACCCAAGCCCCTAGTCATGGAGGCCCGGAAAGTGGCTTGCCCCAGGGACCTGAGTGGTTGTGGCAGTGCACGCAAATTCCTGACTAGTGCTCTGATCCTGGGTATGGCCTTCCTCTTATCTTTTAAAAAACAAGTGCATTATTGTTTTCTTCCTTTCAGTTTTCTTTTTGTTTTCAGCTAAATGCTGCGACTGTGAAAACACTTCAGGCAAGAGGTTTCTAACTCTGCCTCTGTGGGAACACCTTAGCTCAGTGTCCTTCAAACTGCTAATGTCAATCTATAAGTGAGTTGTGAAGTGGGTTTAGTGAGTAGCTACAGCATTTTCATTTCCCTGTGGAATAGAGTAGAATAGAAAATGTCTGTGTGATAAACGTGGTAGAGGCAAGCTTATCCATATGTAGATATTTCTGGGTTGTGCATTAATACGTGTTTCTTACTCAGGGCTGTGTTAAGAGTGAGAGTCTTTTCTAGTTGATGTTATAACATGCTTGCATTTTGACTCCACACTTTTTCCTGCCACATGTACCTCATTGCCTTTTAGTTTCATCCCAGCCGTGTTGACATTGAAGAGTCTTGACTTAATTGCCCTCCTGGATTTTACTTTGTTTTTTCTGCCATTCCAGCGGTTACACTTCACAAAACTCCTTTTGAAACAAATTTGTGCACGTGTTTTTGAAGTGTTTTGTCCAGAAAAAGCAAACTACTTCTGTTAAAAATTAATAGTAGTTTAGTGATTTAATTAAAAAGTCAAGTTTTCACATCCCTGCTGGAAACAAAATCCATCACTTAAATATAAGGTTTTCAGAATTCAGTTTCTTCAGTTCTCATAGACCACGGATGTGGTCTGTGTATATTTGAGGTCTTTCCCTGAACATGTTAATCCTCCTTGCTGCTTTAAACTAGTAGCAAATTCTTTTTTATAGATGTTTGCGCTGAGAGAAGAGCCAAAATTAAGTGGAGGGGGGAAAAGTCAAATTTAATACTCCCAGTTCTCTGGAGAATTCTGGCTTTTCTTAGGAGAGAAGCCTTTTACAGAATATTCTACCACTAGTTGTCAGACAGGACTTGAAGGGGAAGCACTAAGATAATAACAGCGTTTGAGAACCTACTTGAGCTAGTCAGAGTGTGAAGTGTTTTATACGTGTCTTTCAGTCATTACAGAGAGTCCTCTGCTGTAGGCATTGTCCTTATCTTAAAAGGGGGTGGGGAATAAAACTTAGAGAAGGTTAAGTAACTTGGCCAGGGTTCATATAGCTGTAATAAGGGGCAAACCCCGGAGTCTTAACAATCTCGGCACCCCATGCTTTTTCTCCTATTCTAGAATACTGTGAAAATGCTGACTTACCAGATGTCATTCCACATGTTCACATCAGCATAGTCACTTACACCATAGGTCAGAGATTCTTCAGGTGATACTCAGCAACCCCAGTGGGGTCATTGAACTGCTTAATCTACAGTAACACCTTGTGTAATATTACCTTCATTTTTGTGGAGAGGAGGTCTCTGACCCAAAAAAGATCACAAATTGCTGCCCTAGTTGGCAAAATCGACAAGTGTCAATCCCCCAGACTAACTCTGGTCAAAGGATTATGGCTTTTGTATGATCGTGGTTGGATGTGGAATTTTTCAGTCGTCTCTCAAGTAGTCTTTTATGTGGTAGCGTCATCTTTAACTTTTCACTTTATTTGGTGCACATTTCATCTACGGGACTCCGTTTTTAGTTTTTTGCCCAGAGAACTGTTCATCTATTTCTTGATTTTACTTGGATGTTGTTGCAGTGTGACGCACTGTTCTGCACGAAAGCTGGTTGCTCTTTTTAAAATCATTGGCTCCTGAAAAAGTGACATTTGGTCAAAACTTAAAGGAAATAAGGGACAAAGATGTAGGCGAAGAGTAAATGCATCATGTTTTTTCTTCACTTAAAGCAAAGCAATCTTCCATAGTTAAAAGACAAGTTAGCCATAGAATTATCAGAGTTGTCAAAACTTTATTTCAGAGCAGCTATATATGGGGCCCAGGAAAGTGACTCCTTAGGGGTTTTTTGGCTTCGGATAAGTAAAGTAACACATTTACCCACATGCAAATGTAATATTGGCTGCTGCTTAAATAATGTAGTTTGGCTTTAACTTGACCAGCCACTATCTTTGCTTAGATCTGAAGGATCTACCTTATCATTCCGATGAGCATGAACACACGTACACATCTTCATTACAGTGTGGTTTCTTGTTTGGGACTTACTTGATTAAGCACAGTTTATGGTTATCACCTATACTACTGTTAGCAGTGTAAAGGTGATGGTTATTAATACACATTTCTTACTTACGCTGAAATCTAAATTCCTGAACAGCCCTGCATAATCATCTGGCTCCTGCCTGCCTCTCTGACCTTGCCTTATTACCCCACCCACCACTCTACTCACTGTGCTGCTTCTAACAAGCGGGCCTTCATCCTGCCCTCACGTGTGCTACTTTCCTTCTCTGGCAGCATTTGTACTTGCTGTTCACTCAGTTTGAAAGCATCTTCTCCTGGACCTTTGTGTAGCTGCCTCATCATGTGACTCAGTACTGAAGTTACATCCTGAAAGAGGCCTTTCCTGACCACCCATCTAAAGTAGTTTTCCCCCTTTCCTTGCACCAGCTGCAGGCACATGGTCCTGGTTTGTAGCAATGATTATTTACCTGTTAGTTGTTTAAGTCCCCAAGAGTACAAGGATCATGAGAGTGGGGACCATCTATCTTTTGTCCTCCATTGCCTAGATCAGTGCCTGGCACACATTAAGTGTTTAATAAATGCATTGTAATCACACAGTTTTGTTTTACTGTAAATCACATGTTCTTCAGTAGCTTCACATATTTACCAGTTTGACCATTGAGTTCCCTATAATCAGCTCACATGGTCCTTTTTTCCCCTCTCTGTGTACTTACTGTAACTCAGATTCTTCATCCAACCAATGTTTCATTCAGCCCAACTTTTTACTTGAGGATAGCACCCAGTGATGTTCGTGGTAGATCACGGCTGGTGACATCACTTCTAAAGCTCAGCAAAGACCTTATAAATCACTGGTTTCCCCTGGGCACCTATTATGAATCCACTCTGAAATCATCAAAGATCTTTTTTTTTCTTTAAATTTTTTTAATTGAGGTGTAATTGACATACAGCATTATGTAAGTGTCAGGTGTACGGCATAAGGATTCAGCATTTTTATATATATATATATTGCCAAACAATGGTCACCACAGTAAATATAAACATAACAATACATGGTTACAGAATTTTTTTTTCTTACATGAGAACTTTTAACATCTACTCTCTTAGCAGCTTTCAAATATGCAGTTTTATTAGCTATAGTTGTCATCCTGTACATTGCATCCCCATGACTTATTTATTTTATAACTGTAAGTTTGTACTTTGGACCCCCTACACCCATTTCGCTCACATGAGCCACCCCCACCCCACTCCTTGTCTCTGACAACCGATCTGATCTCTGTATGTAAACTTGGGTTTTGGGGGTTTTAGATTCCACACATAAGGTCATACAGTATTTGTCTTTCTCTCACTTAATTCACTTAGCATAGTGTCCTCAGAGTCCACCCATATTGTTGAAATGGCAATATTTCATTCTCTTTTATGGCTGAGTAATATTCCATTGTTTATATCCCACAGCATCTTTTCCATTCAGCCATTGATGGACATTTAGGTTGTTTCCATATCTTGGCTATTGTAAATAACGCTGCAGTGAACATAGGGGGACATTATCTTTTTGGTTAGTGTGCTTATTTTCTTCTAAGATAGATATCCAGAAATGGAACTGCTGGATCACATGGTAGATCTATTTTTAATTTTTTGAGGAGCTTCCGTATGATTTTTTATGCAGGCTGAACCAGTTTACATTCCCACAAACAATTGCACAAGTTTCCCTATTCTCTACAGCCTTATCAACGCTTGTTATCTCTTGTCTGTTTGATAATGGCCACTCTAACAGGAGTGAGATGATAAACTCATTATGGTTTTGATTTGCGTTTTCCTGACAGCTAGTGATGTTGAACATCTTCTCACGTACCTATTGGCTATCCGTGTATCTTTTTTGGAAAAATGTCTCTTGAAATCCTCTTTCCATTTTTCAGTTGGCAGTGTTTTTTGCTATAGAATTGTATGAGTTCTTTACATATTTTGCTTATCAACACCTTATCAGATATATGACTTGCAGATATTTTCTTCCGTTCACTAAGTTGCCTTTTCATTAATAATTTCCTTTGCTGTGCAGAAGTTTTTTATTATTTTTAATTGAACTATAGTTGATACAC